AAGAATGGTGTTTTAATTTTACTATGAAGGGTGAATTATGAAATGCAATCTCTGGCAGAATATCTGCGATGCTTCTGCATTCGCGAGTTTTGGCAGAAAATCCAAAAGATGGGGTGGTTGGTTGAATGCTAGGCTGCTAGCCATGCCTGGGAGTTAAAAAATGCAGGCAACGTGGGACGGTCCTCGTGGGCCTCTATCACCTTCGCAAAAACTAATTTAGGCATATTTACTACACTATTGTTTTTTTTATATAGATTTGAATTTTGTTCAAGGTAACCTCAGTGTAATTTTAAACCTTAATTATGTTTTTATTCTCAATAAAATAGTATATTTTAAGATTACTTTTTTATTTGTTAAAATTTAGTTTTTAATATTTTTAAAATATAAGAATTTAATTTTTATCATCAAATATATTATAGTAGATAATAAGTTGGATATTAGAATTTTAACTCACTAATATTATGTTATTTATTATTTTTTTAATATTTTATTATTTAAAAATTAATTTTACAAAACAAAAGTTTTGAATTTTTTTTCCATCCTCTTTTTCCTCCTTTTTTTTTGTTTTTATTGATACATAAAACTCTAAATATAGCTCTAAGGAATCATATATTGTTTTCCTCTCCTCATGACAGCAAAATCTAATTCCTTATCTAACTATATATTTATTGAAGTTTTTACTATTAAAAAGGTTCTTACAACTTTAGAAAATGTTGTCATCTCTTCTTCTTTTTTAAAGCTTTTCGGTGTGGATACTTTAGTCTTATTTATCTCTCACTTATAAGTCATCGAAGTTGAATCACTATGAATCTAAATGTTAATTAATTTTTAAGTGAGTGCAATCAAACGATTTTACTCTATTCAAAGCTGCTTGTCCGTGACACAATACTGGTAATGATGGATCTTTACTTTAATAGAAAGATTTTTATTTTAATTTTTGAGGGAAACTCCTTGAGAAAGCTTTTCATTTTGATTCAAATATACTGGCTACAATAATGAATCCAAAATAAATAAATATACATAAACTTCAAAGTTATGAGAAACTAGCAGTTTAGCGAAAGGTGAAAACATCCTAATCAATTTGGTAAAAGCTAGGTGGATCATAATATTATGCTAGTATGAGTTGGAGGCACTGTAAAATAATCTCTTCTTAGAGAAAGATTAGGATTGTGTGGGCTATGCATGATAAATGAACGAAGGAGAAGAAGAAAAACAACTTTAAGTGGTTCTTGAAGCAGCAAAAGCTATGAGAAATGAAGCTTTAAAGAATCCAAGGAAAATAAAATGTTGAAGGACATGATATGATTTTTTTATTTGTTTTTTCTTTTTTATATATAGTTAAATATAAATTATTCGAAAGTGAAATATAGAAATACCGCACAGAAAAAAAATTAAAAATACTAAAATCAATTGTAATATAATTTTTTTATTTTCATTTGCGTCAATAAGGAGATAATATATATTTTTAGTTTAAATCACGTAAGTCTTTTGCTGAAAATAATCATATTTGAGTTCGAGTAAGATATTTAATTATTAAATTTTAATTAAAAAACAATTGATAAAAAGAATATAATATAAGTTAAAAAAAAGTAATAGAAACCAAGTATCTGCCTTCTAAAACTATTATATTGGTTGACGCATAGAAATTGATCTGCCTTCAATTTCTTAAATAACAAATTTTTAAATGAAAATTTTAAAATAATAAATATTTTATGGGTCTTATTTGTAATTGTAAAAAAATATTTATTTATCATTATTTAATAAATATTTTAAAAATATACGTTAGTATCTGCCTAGTTTTAAATGGAGGAATACTAGAAAAAATATTTATTCCATTAGAAATACTATTCTTATTTATAGAGAGATAAAATATATTAAATAATTAAGTTATGTCATTAAAATTATTTTCTGAACTAGTTAATTTATATTTTATTAGTATTTATTTCTCTTGAACTATTAAATTAATATGAATATTTTATATAAACAAAAGGTATATAGCGCAATAATAAAAAATAACATTAATTTAAATTTTTATATAAATAGATTAATAAAAATATTTTTTATTTTTATAAACAAGTAAATAAAAATAGAAGTAATACAAAAAATACAAATAAGTGGGATTAAAATACTAGTTAATGAAAAAAAAAATATAAAAGAAAAGAAACTATACATACTAAAAAATATTTAATTATCTAGTGGTAGAGCATGGGTATACCTAGAAGACTTGCATTCGTATGCTAATACTTTCCTTAACAACAAACGTATAGGAAAACAGATAAATAAATAAGCTGCCATGGTATGAACCGATTGCTTATCAAGGAGCTAGCTAACTCCTTAATTTCACCAAAATACGTCGTAGGTGCACTGTTTCATGATGGTGTTGACGACAACAAAGCATTTTAAGTAGCTAGCACACTTCTAAAACCTTGTCTCCCAATTGGAATAACTTCATGAGTTTTGTGGGTCAATGCACGTGCACCCCAGAAACCCATTTCATCATCCCCTTTTGTGGAGTTCATATTAGCAATATTGGCGACGCTTAATTTTCAAAAGATAAACAATTTTAATGCATACGCTGAACATGTTGAAGAGTCCTGCCTGCAGCATTTTCAACAAGGTTTAAGAATGTTTTGAAGGTAATGAAAAAAAAAAGAGTTGAGGCAAAACAAGTTCGGCATAAGAATTTCAAAAGGTGTTGACTTTGCTGGGGTATGTATTTTTATTAAATATGATTTTGGTCCTTGAAAATATTATAATTTTTATTAAAAATATTTTTCATTGTTATATTTAACAAAATTAATGTTGTTCTGTCATTGATGACTAAAATAATAAAATTTTTGTGATATTTAGGAACTAATACCAAGTTAAATTTTTATACAGGCTAGTTTTTTGAAAAAAATTCACACTTTTAGATATTAAAAATCTTTTTAAATATATATAATTTTTAACAATGTAAAAAGGAATTTAACATATGAAAAATGTTCAGAAAAGCAAGTTGATGGACCTTACATAGCAAATGATCACCAAAGTCAATGTTTTCCCTTAGTTAATTAACATCTCAATTTGCACAAAATTTTAATAGAAACCTTCATGAAATGTTTTATATTATTCCTCTGCAATCTTTGAAAAACACTTCAACTTTTTTTTCTCTCGAATCAGCGTTTAGTAACTTCCGTATACATAAATAACTTATGATTGACAACTGCCTCGGAATATTAGCAAAATTTAAATGAATTTGTCAAGCTTTCCCCTTCTCCCCAACCAATCACTCAATGCTGTATTGGTTTTGAATTTTTTTTTCTTGCTTGTAACGCCTTCTAAGATCATGAGTGTATTCACATATACAATTAATTAAATATTTATTTAATTAATAATTTATATCATAACTTTAATTATAAAATTTATTAAGATAAATTAAAATAACTGATTTTGATGAAGTTATAATTACAAATTTTATTAAAATAATTTAAAATCACTTATAAAAATTATGTTATTTTTATAAATTATCTATAAACTCGTTCAAATACATCATATATTATTAACTTTATATGTCATCTTACGGTGCGGGATAAAAATTTGAATCACTATTTCCTTTATCCTTGAAGCTGTGTTTAGTGATTTTTAAGTCGTAATCTTCCTTTATATTTTTATTCCTTTTTCCAAAGTCAATTTTTTCTAAAATACAATATAGAAGTCTTTTCAACCATCCACCGTAGAGATAACTTACGTCTGAAAGCTCGCTTCATATGACTGTAACTATTCAATAGATAAATTCTTCAACTTTGAAAACGATTTATAAGATTCAACCTATGATAAAATTATTTTCAAAATCAAGGAATATCACTGTCTACTGTTTCTACAACGGCATGATTAATTAAGAAGACATGTGGGAATATAATTTAATATATCTCCTTCGAAATCATTAAGGGTGAATATTACCTCTCCAAGTTGACAAAAGATTTCAAACTATTAAAAAATCCCATGTATAGAAAATAATGGTTATTAGTTATATAAAATATAACATCACAATTGCCTTATTTTGTTTGAAATGGAACTTATACTTCATAAAAATAAAAGAGAGAGGACAGGCGTATAAATATTAAATATTTATTTTAATAAAAGGTAATTTATACAGATAAAACGAAAAAAAAAATGAAAACATAATATGAGAAGTAACAAAGAAATTGATATCCTAGCATATCATTTTGCTTAATGACACTAATTTTATATTAGTTAGCAAAGTACATAATTTTTATAAACAAAAGAATAATATTTAATTAGCAAGGTCAGCAACAAAAATAATAATATTTATATAGTATTAATAAAAAAATACATTTTCAATTAATATAAAAATAACGAATAAAAATTCCTGGTGTGCTGAAATGTTAACAGACAAAGCCGCCTCAGGGATCTACGTGTAAGTGTTTGCATGAAATGTCAATAGTAAAAGTTGAACATAGAAGAAGACTTTTTGGTCATTGCACGCTATAGATTAAGAGGGCCACGCAAGGAACAGAACAACAAAATTGTTTTTTCCATTCAATTTTTCAATTCAAAACTGGTTTATGCTGAAAATAAAAAAGAACAGGACAACAAATACAGGTTCTTATGTGGTTTTTCGAGAGACAGTGAGAGAGAGTTGAAGAAGACGTCCTCAGAGGACCGCTTCATCTGATAAAGGGTTTTAGTTCGCAGAAAGAAAGCCATCTAATTTAGAGAGAGAGAGAGAGAGAGAGAGAGAGAGGAGAGAGAGAGTTGTAATAGAAAAAGGAGTCTTGTCTTTTGTTTGGTTGCATTCAATTCTCTTTCTCTCTCTCTCTCATTACTCTCTACTAGCTATTCGATTGTAACCGACTCTCTTTTTCCGTGGACAAAGGAAATGATCTTAAGAGGAAGAGACACAAGGCGGTTTCGCCACTGATGGGACAACAAGAGCAAGAGACAACAAAGCTATTAGGTTCTTCTTTGGTTATGGCTTCCACTACTATGAAGAACATCAACCCAACAACAACAACAACTACTACTCAATTGGAACCACTCCCACCACCTCAACACCGTCATCACCATCAGCATCATCATCAAATACATGACCATCAAATTTCTTTTGGAATGATGCAATCTTCTTCTTCATCTTCTTATATCCCCGGAAACTACCTGTGAGTTGTTTATTGTCTTATAATATTCTTTTTTTCACTTTGGTTTTGCTCTATTTTTATTTTTGTGAACATATATGCTGTGTTTATGTATGTCAGCAGAAGCAAGGATTCGGGAGCTTATGATTTGGGTGAATTGGATCAAGCACTTTTTCTCTATCTTGATGGACAAACAGACCCTTCGAGTGTTCAAGACCAAAGACGTGAGCTTTCTCTAAAACACTCCCACATACACATATATACATCGAAATTTCTTCTTCCTTCCAATAAACTTCTCCATGGTCAAAAAGAGGAACTCCCTTCCCTCTCGCTTTTCGTTAGTTTAGGAGATTCTCGTTGTTTGGTCACACCAAAAGCATGTTAAGCCGATTTGTATCTGCTGCATAGTACTTCCTTTGACCAGATCCTGGCAGAGAAGCATAACAAAGCAAAAGGGTGAAAATAAAGGAATAGACATTTCCAATTTTCCATTTCTAAAAAGAGAAGAAAATAAAAAATTTCTCCTCTCTTTCTCCCTCTCTATATATTTAATTTGTTTTCTTGTTTTATTGGTTGGAGGTGTGAGACCATGACATGTAACAAACCGTGTGTCATGATCTCCTTGAAACAAAAATACCACATGTACTGAAAAGGGGAAGGAGTAGGGTATGGGTGCTTTCTGCCTTTACTTTCTTCCCTTTCCAGTTTGGACGGTAGAAGTAACAAATGCATGATAATTCTCACACCTGCTTCTTTCTTTGCCTTGCTTGTGATCTCTCTTTATTTTCTCATTTGAGTCATCCCGTAATCATTCTGTCCCTTGAAAAACAGACCCGCTCTCCGTCTTTCATTTCTCTCTGATTATATATACATAACTTGCTAATTAGATATATATTTACACATAATTGATCGTGCTGAATTTCGTGCATGAATGCGTCTCCTCAGAGAACTCTTTATCAGGGATGAGGCCTCCAACTCTCAACATTTTCCCGTCTAAGCCTATGCACGTAGAGCCATCATCATCCAATTCTAAGGTGTAATCATTATATTTTTTTTTCACTGTCAATTGTATTAGATACGACACGATACTGTTACTATTTTTTGTTATTATTTTGTGCTGCGCAGTAATAAATTTTGATTAATATTAATCGCAGTAAAAAACACAATATTAATATGTTTTATTTATATTTTTATTTCGATAGGTTAACATACAGCTAGTTTCTCCGCAAACAAGTGGATCCAAAAGGCCATCAGAGCCGTCGATGGAGTTGGCCAACCCACGAAACGGCGCTGCCCCTGAACCACCCAAATCTGTCAAGGTACGTGTACTTTATATATATATATATATATATATATATATATATATATATATATAATATGTCTGTTAAATTTAGTTATAAATTACTAGAATAAGAATCAGAGTATGGTAGCAACTTTGAACAAAGCCCGAAGTTCTTTGCTAAAGTATTTAATTGTTATTATTATTATTTTCTCAAACTAATCACCAGCGCTATGCGTTTACTATGCCAGCGAGAGGCCAATCGCAAGGGTCCAACATCTAGTTCTGAACAAGAAGGTCCTAAAACACCAGATCCTAAGGTTAACTCTTAACCCTTTCTTTCTTCCATCTTCTCCTTTTACAAGCTAATTTCTGGTCATTGAAAAAAAAATCGATGACAATCGATGCTGATATGTGCTTTAAAAACGTTATGCACAGACACTCAGAAGACTTGCTCAGAATAGAGAGGCAGCTAGGAAAAGTAGGCTTAGGAAAAAGGTAAGTAATTCCCTTCATCTCAACTCTGTTGTTTTACACGTTTTCGGTAAGACTTGTCAAAGGTCTCATACTTATGAGCCATGCACTACTCTCTCTCTCTCTCTCTCTCTCTATCAGGCATATGTTCAACAGCTAGAGTCGAGTAGGATTAGGCTTAATCAGCTGGAACAAGAGCTACAGCGTGCTAGAGCTCAAGTAAGAACAAGTTTTTGTGATCCCCTTATACTATAACAGGCCATGACATTGATAAAGTTTACGAAGTTCAGACACTACTTTTTTTTTACAACTTACAAGTAACGGGTGTTTCTACTTTAGGGCATATTCTCCGGTGGAGGTGCACTTTTGGGAGGAGAGCAAGGCCTCCCTGTCGCTATGAATAGCATTAGCACAGGTCTCTTTTTTCAGAGTCATATACAAGACACTTAACAATTATCTCTATATATGATGCTATGCATGCATTATTCTCCATGATTATATCTTATATGTAAGTGTGTGTACATAAATTTCAGAGGCTGCAATGTTTGACGTAGAGTATGCTAGATGGCTAGAGGAGCACCATCGCCTAGTGTGTGAGCTAAGAGCTGCAGTGCAAGAGCACCTTCCCGAGAATGAGCTTAGACTGTTTGTGGACAATTGTTTGGCGCATTATGACCAAGTAATGAACCTCAAGAGCTTAGTGGCCAAAACAGACGTGTTCCATCTTGTTTCTGGCATGTGGAAGACCCCAGCTGAACGTTGCTTCATGTGGATCGGTGGATTCAGGCCATCTGAACTCATTAAGGTACGTGAAATTATTAATGTAACCCAACCTCAGCGAGTCAGCCTGGTTCAGAAATTTGACAACTAGATGACAAAAAACTACTTACAAAACCTTGGTTTTTATATAGTATATGTTAACTAGCAAGTGATCAAAATGTCTTCATTTTTTTTTCAATATATATTAAAATATATAAATAAAATTTGGGTTATGGGGGGATTATTTTTTTTATAACTTGCACGCGGAGAGGGAGGAGGAAATCGGGGTGCGTTATATATTGTATTCATTAGAAGCAGTTGATCTTTTTGTCGGTGGGGTTACCAAATTAAAGGAATATTGAGAGGGGTATGAATTCAACGTCATCAATGAATGATGGAACGAAGCATGAAGGCTTCTGGTAATAGGTAGAGTTAGGCTTCATTCCCATAAAGCCATAACTTTAACTCCGATTTCTGGCCAGAAATCGATTAAGAATTTATCTAGTAAAGAGAAAGATAGTGGGGCGGGTCTCTATCTCTCATTTTCTTCTTTTCAACTTATATCGTTGATGGGAACAAAGTTCTCGTTTCCATGCCCATCTTTTTCTTTGTACTGGAGTTAATCAATAAGCAACCTCTTGGAACCATAAGACAGTGTACTTTTATTATATATTTATATGCATACATGCATGGTTATAATATAGCTATTTGCATACAAGAAGAAACAAATTTATATTATTTACTATTTTTAATAGTTTAAGAATATGTTTATATTGATTTAATTTATGTGGTTTAGATTATTCCGAGTCAAATTGAACCTCTCACAGAGCAACAAATATTGGGTATATGTGGGTTGCAACAATCTACGCAAGAGGCAGAAGAGGCTCTCTCTCAAGGGCTTGAGTCTCTCAATCAATCTCTCTCAGACACTATAACATCAGACTCATTGAGCTATCCTCCCAATATGGCTAACTATATGGGCCAGATGGCAGTGGCCATGAACAAGCTCTCCACTCTTGAAGGTTTCGTGAGACAGGTACATTACATTACTTTGACTTAACACGCTTCTCTTTAATTTTTAAATGAGTGGGTACATATAGAGTAACGATATTCATTACACGTCAAAATATTCACTACATTTGACTTTTTAAGTAAATAAAGAAAGTTAGAAAGAATAAATATATAACTTTTTGCTTGTTGTCTAGAGAAACATAAAAATAATGTAATATTTTATGCGAGTCAATGTCATCACTCATAAAAATAATGTTCATTATGGTCGTTGAATTTGGCATTGGTGATTTGGCGAGGGAGTTTCGTGACCGTGTGATCTTGGTTGATTAGTTTTGTGGTCCCCCAGTACATGACCATGTTTCCATAACGGATCTCGTGGGGTCGGGTAGGAAGAAGAATCTGCTGTTCTTCGGGTAGGGAGACCTGCCCCAACGCCATGAACTACTCTTTACATGCATGTCTCTCTCTTGAGGTGGTTACATGGAATCTACGAACACATTATAATATCTTTATCTCGTTTAGACGTACATTGGGTGGCCAATGTTTATATCTCGAAAAGGACTCTAGTTCCTTTCAGATTTGTCTGGTACAGGTACTTGGATGCATTATATATGCATCCGGGACGTGGCTATATAAACAAATATGCACCTTAATAAGGAAAATTACATGCAACCAAATCGACGCTTAGTAGTGTTAGGAAAATTATTTACTGGTTATAGTATACTTGTTAACTAGGATTACACACACAAACGTGTGTTTATGTTTTTGAAAATGATTTGATATAGGTTAGTACACATTCGCATTAATAGCATTGCAAAGGTACCAAAATGAGAACAGTAAAACATACAGTTCGTGCATAACCTTTAAGGTTTCCTGACTGCAGTAGTGCTGATATTTATGTTGTTTCTAACATTTCTATAACATATTTTTTTCGTTACCATTGAATGCCTTAGGTTAGTAGTGCGTACTATTGATCACATACACGTGATACTAGGACAGATCAGTGGTCCCTCACCGATATAATTGTAATTGAAAGATATCCCTCTAGACCCATATCTCTCTGATGTCATGGTCGTAACCGTTTGACTTGAAGACACACTATATAGACCCTTCCCCATAACCTCCTTTTTGACTACTTCTAAAAGCATAAACGGACGAATTAATATTGCTCGAGACTAATATGATGTTGTGTTTGCTTAATAGACTTAATTTGGGGGGAAACGAATGCACCATATGATATGGTTCGTATGTTTCTTTTCTAAGTAGGAATAGGACTTGATTTTGGAATCTTGTAATTTTAATTAAGTTTACATCATTACTAAAATGACCTGAATTTCTTTACGAAATTTGTGGCAGTTAATCTGCACCGGCCATCTCAATATATCATGCATGCATTGTATTAATCTTACCAAAGTTGGTTCACCAACTTCTATTAATTTCCACAGATGAATAGATGGTTTAATTAATTACAAGTAATCCAGGAATATGTTCTCTTTGAGTCTGTCGTAACCAATCAAAGCAATGGGAAACCAAAAACTAGCGGAATCTTTAGGTAGACAGACTAATCATAATGGTTATGAGTTTTACAGCATCTAAACCTTTCCTTAATTCATCTGTAAGCTCATCTAGTGGTAGTTTGACCAATTTGTAGTATTTGCTCTAGACTTATTGCGGCTAAAATGCTGACTTAATATTACTTATATGATGGTCCCGGGATTTTTGTGATCACTGCTTGTCGTCGCCATTTCGGATTAAGATATCCAATGTTTGAAAATATGTCTCCATGCTGAACAATTATAGTCAAACTCTTTGAAAAAATATGAATAGACTATTCACTAATATGTGTATAATAAGATTTTTAATTCATCACGGTTTTCTTCTGCTATCTTCCATATAGAATTGCTTTCATGATTAAATGATCTAAATTTTGATTAAATGTTCCAAAATTTGACTATGGAAAACTCGTTACAATTTTCAAGCATGGAATCAGCGGGTAGAGGTTTCAAATTTTGTTCGATTCAAAGTTAGAAAGATAAAAGGAATCCAGTCAAGCCACTGTTCCTGTTTCCTTCCAACCTCTTTTGTCTATTTCTGACCATTAAGATATTTCATTATTTTTCACTTGAAGTTACATGGAAAAAGGTCGACTTTCAATCTATATAGATACATACATTACATTGATACACACACAAGTCAACACATATACATACATATGTGATGAGAATTAAGAAACAATTTTAAAAAATAACTTAAAAATAATAATTTGATTGAGATTTAAATTAACTTACAGGCAGATAGTTTGCGGCACCAAACCATTCATCGTCTGCATCAGATTCTAACGATACGTCAAGCAGCAAGGTGTTTTCTGGCCATAGCTGAGTACTTCCATCGTCTGCGAGCCCTGAGTTCGTTGTGGTTGGCACGCCCTCGCTCAGAATAGCAAGTGGTAGTGCATGGCGCAGTCTCCAGCTAGACCAGCTAGCTATAGCTATGACCTTAATTTATAGCTTCTTAAATTTCTCTTAAATTATAAATTAAATGTTCTCTTCACTTTGGTACCACCCTCCCTCCCTCTTTTCTCACTGCATCATCAGTTGTATAGATAGACAGATAATTAATATAGAATTAAATGTTAACAATTGCTCTCCCTTTTATATTTATTTTTGCAATGTCTCTAAGCTGTTGCAGGAAGCCATTCTTTTATAAGTAAAAGAATAGCCGCGTGAACTAATTGAGGGAGAATGGAGGTAGAGTTTTATAAAGATAAGAAATTGGGTTTTCTCTATAAGATAATATATATTTTTATTTTAACTGAATTAATGAAATTTTATATATAAAAAGTTGGATAAAAATTAATATAATTTTCAATATGATGTTTTAATTCTATTAATTTACCTAACATAGCCACATAAGATATTTATCCGATAAAAGAGTAACTTGGAATTTGCTTTGTTTTGCGTGGAAGTTATGCTCTTCCGAGATAAAGAGAATAAGACAAAGTTTTCGGTTTCAGAGGCAAAAAACGGAACCTTGTGTTGAACTCAATCGTCCATTTGGCCTTGAAAGGTTGCATGCATAGGCTGTTTTGTCACTGCCATTTAAGAATCATATACACGTTGGTTTAGCCACTGATTTTCTTTTTTAATTAATTTGATATTTTTTATAATTGGTATTCTTTTCTTTGTTTTATCCTTGTGAATGAGTAAATTAGGTGGTCCATTCTTGCAAGGTTAGTTGTAACAGTTAATTTCACATGTCAGGAAGAAAACAAATTCAAAGGATCGGACAGTTACCTTACATTGATCCATTGAATAGGGAATAATCGTTTAGTTGCTCAATTCAAAAAATTAATTAGTATCAAAATTGATGTGAACTGGCCAGGAACTAGTTGAATCAGTTTAAAATTGGTGACAAAAACCAGTTTAAATTGCTTAAATTTAATTTTTCATAAATTTCTTATTTAAAAAATATTTTTCTAACTAAATTAAAGTATAATAATAAATTATAAAGATTTGTATGCACGGTTTTTTATCATTTATTTTTTAATATTAATATAATTATTTTATATTGATTTAAATTTTATTTTATATGAATATTTGAATATTTCATATTATTTAATACTTAATAAGATGTATCCGTTTTTCAATTCTTTCATCATCTTTAAGTACACACACAAGTATTACAGAACACGCCTTTAATCCATCAAGCAAATTGGAGACTGATTTCATACCTTATAATCATTCTAAATACTCTTGCGAATGCAAAAGAGCAATTGTTGGAATATTTTTATGTTTTAGATTTTTTAATTATAACTATTTTTATGAAAATTTTTATTATGTTCTTCTAGATTTTCTTATTTTGTATTCTTATATATTTTTAAAAAAATTATATTTTTTTCATTTTTAAAATAAATAAAAAAAGAAAATGCCTTAATTATCAATTAGATAAAGAAATTTGAGTAGGACACTCAATAGATGGAGAATTGATAGTTTGGTTATTTTTTTTCTTTGACTTTTACAATTAGATAGCATGTGTATTTATAGACATCCTCTATCATTATATTTGAATGATTTAATATTATAATATTTAGAATATTCTAGAATTATATCTAGAAGTATTTTGAAATTAAAAGATTTAAATGATTTTTCTTAGATTATTCCTAATATTTTCTAGAATATTCTAAAAATTTGTATCATGTTCTAATACTCCTCTTTGATGAAAATTTATGTAATTCCAAGATTCGTGCGTAATTGTTCAAATTTTGGTCTTGGTAGTGCTTTAATAAAAATGTCTGCAACTTGATTTTCAGTTCTGCAGTACTCAAACTTTATTTATTTATTTCCTTCTGCTTTCTTGATAAAGTGGTATTTGATTGCTATGTATTTTGTTTTACTATGATGCATCGGATTCTTTGTCATTGTTATAGCTAATTTGTTGTCACGATAAATTGTAGTAGGATCATTTTGCTTTTCTTTAATTTCTTCAACTATTCTTCATAAGCATATTGCTTGACTTGTAGTCTCAGCAGCTGTCACGTATTCTACTTCTACTATTGATTGTGTAATAGTTGCTTGTTCTTTGAAGCCCACAGGATTGTTCCTGATCCTAATGGAAAAAGCAGACTAGATGTGCTCTTCATGTCGTGAATTGATCCTATCGAGTCACTGTCGATGTAACCAAGTAGCTTTGAGTTACTCATGGTTTGGTACCATATACCATACTCCTTGGTGTCTTGTAAATATCTTAGGATTTTTTTTGCTGTTTCAAAGTGAAGTTGGCTTGAACTTTGCATGAATCTTGAAAGAAGACTTACAACATATATTATGTCTGGTCAGTGAGATATAGTAAGATTCTAATCAAACTTATGTAGCATGATGCATCAACTTCTAGTACTTCATCATTTTTCTTCAATTTCTTCTTTGTTACTAGTAGAGTGCTAACAATCTTACATTCATTCATCTTGAATTTCTTAAGTAATGCTTCAATGTATTTCTTTTGGGAGATAAATATTTCTTATTTCCTTTGTTTTACTTCTATTCTAAGGAAGTAATTCATCAGGTTAAGATCGGTCATCTCGAAAGTGTTCATTATATCTTCTTTGAACTTAATTATCATCTCCACATTATTTCATGTGCAGATAAGATCATCTATATACAAAGAGATTATGAGTATGTCATACTGACCTTGAAACTTGGTGTATAAAGTTGGTTCACTTTTGCTCCTCTTGTATCTTTGATCTATAAAATATTGATCGATTTTGCTGTATCATACTAGTGGTGCTTGCTTCAATCCATATAGAGCCTTTTTCAGTTTTAGTACTCTGACTTCATTACCTTTGTTGAAAAAGTCTTTTAGTTGCTTCATATAAATATCTTCTTGAAGAATGACATTAAGAAAGACAGATTTTACATCTAGTTAATAAATGTTCCATCTTTTTTGTGCAGCAAGAGCAATTAGCGTTCTTATAGTATCCAAGTGAGCAACTGGAGCAAATGTCTCGTTGTAATCAACTCCAAGTTGTTGTGAGTATCTTTTAGCTACCAACCTTACCTTGTACTTTTGTATAGTGCCATTGAGATTAAGTTTGGTCTTATAGACCTATTTTGCCCAATGATATCTTTATCTTGAGGGCAATCTACTAGCTCTCATGTGTTATATTTCTCAATCATTTTTATCTCTACTTCCATTGTCTTGACTCATACTTCTTGTTTTGATACTACTTCAAAGTTCTCAGGTTCAGTTATGACTAGGTTATAGGTCTCATATATATCCATCTAAGATTTAACTCGTCTTGGAGTAGACTCTGGTGAGGAAATTTGTTGTTGTGAGGGTGTAAAACTCTTACCTAATACTTCTTCAATTTCTTGAAGTTGTTGCATTGGTATGTAAACATTTTTCTGAACTTTTTCATCTTTCCAATTTCAAGCAACATTTCATTAACTTCAACATCTCGACTAATAGTGAACTTTTTGGTTTGTAGGTTGTAAACTCAATATCCTTTCAGTGTTATACTCTAAGAAGATATCTCGTACAATTTTGTCTTCTAGTTTGTATCTCTTCTCTTTTGGAATGTGTATGTAGCAAATCAATTCAACAATCCTGAGGTGTTTTGCTGATAGTTTTTGCCTGCTCCAAGCTTCAATCAGGGTTTTACCTTAGACAGCCTTAGTTGAACATCTGTTAAGTATGTATACATCATTATAAACTGCTTAAGCTCAGAAAGTATTTGGTAATTCTTTTTTCTTTTGGCATTGATCTAGCCATATCCATTACAATGCAATTTTTTCTCTCAGTTATCCTATTTTGTTGTGGAGTATATGCGACAGTAAGTTGTCATTAAATGCCTTTATCTTTATAAAATTTATCAAATTCTTGAGAGATATACTATTTGCCATGATCACTTCTTAATACTTTTATCAGTTTAGCACTTTGCTTCTCGACAAGGACCTTAAACTTCTTGAATATTCTAAAGACTTCTGATTTTGCTTTGATGAAGTAGACCCAAATTATTCTAAAAAAATCATTGTTGGAAAGGATAAAATACCTGTTATTACAAAGTGATAGTGTTTGGATTAATCCACAAATATCTGTGTGGACAAACTCTAATAAGTCTTTTGCTCTTCAAGCTTTCTCAGTAGAAAACAACAATCGATGCTGCTTGCCAAGGAGATATCATTCACAAGCTTCACTATTTTCTTCAAGACATGGGAGATCCTTCATCATACTCTTTTGATATAATAGTTTTAAGACATGAATATTAAAGTAGGCAAATCTTCAATGCCAAAGCCGTGAAATATCAACTTCTGCTTGCATAGCAATGTTAACACCTTGTTGAAAGCTTATTGGAAAATTTTTGTTTCTTTTCTTCATCTTTACTTGGCCAATTTCTGGCTTTTTACTGTGATATATCTTACATGTGTTCCCTTTGAAGTGGAGATAATAACTTTTCTCTATCATTTGGCCAATACTCAAGAGATTTTCCTTATGGGTGAGAACTACTAAGACATCAATAATAAGTTTTGTACATTTCTTTGTCTCTACCATAATAGTGTCTTTGCCTTTTGACTCAGTGATACCGTTCTCCATTCAAACTTTCATTTTGATAGATTTGTCAATATCGTTGAAGATGTTTATATCTTTGGCCATGTAATTGCTACAACCATTATCCATGTACCAATTTTTGCTTGTTTCATTGCTAAAATCTTGGGTAGCATAGAAAATATGTGGTTCTCGATCATATTCTTCAACAAAATTTTCTTGATACTTGTTTTTGTTGTGACCATACTTTTCCCCGTGTCAAATTTCTTGTAGTGTTGACATTATGATTTTTCACGATACTGACATTCTTCTTCAGCATGATTTATTCTCTTAGAAATGCTGCATGAAGCATATTTATCTTGATTGTTTTTAGAAAAATTTCTAGAATTCTCTTTGTTTCTA